CAAATGAGCATACTGACGCTCAATACAAGATTAATGTTCCCAAGTCTTTCTTACGCAGTCTCCTGTGATACATATCGTTCAAAATCTGCCTAGGATAAGCAGACACGTACTATTCAGCCATAATCTCTTGGTAACCACCGCCGGCGTCTTAAAGATTGTGGGTCAAAGGAAAACAGTCAAAAAGGCAACCACGAGAAAAAGAATAGGGCTGTAACCCACGTCATGGCCTACATTGCACAGGTCACTGCGACAACATGACCAATCACACTTTACATCCGTCAAGTTCATTCGATCCCGGTCACACGAGGTCTTCAAACTTCCACAAGTGGAGGTACTCGCACAGGATCTTTTTTCTACGTCAATCGTCGCACCGTTAAAAATCCCACTAACATGTGTCCGCATACAAGAATCCATTCCCTCGGGACAGGTCCGCTTAATTTGGTGGTGGATGCACTGTTTAGTGTTAAATGAACTACAATTGGCGGTCATCTCGGGAACACATTGATAACATGTAATCGAAAAAACTGCAAATAAATCACAAGGAAAGAAAGGTTTACATGCTTTTGAAGCCCCATTTGCAATAGAAAGGACCTTAAATTTTAGCGGGCTGTGCAGTAGAAAACTGTCCGCTGGATTGACCAATCAAGCGCGCGAAGTAACGGAGAGATGTAGAAGTGTTAACGTTGACTACAATAGGACCCACAAGGGCGTAACCCGCTGGAAACCCTGGGGTGCTGGTGCCCCCCATCCCCCCCCACACCCGCCCCCTTCAAGGTGATAACGGACAACTGAAAATCTAAATGGCGTAAATCTTTTCCAAAGCTAAATATTTCATATGCTGATCTTTCTCGTAGTGCCCGCTGATACACAAAGAAGAACAGGAGCAGCAGTATAAACCAGCTCATGCAAAGCGCGCAGAAATTCGTAACTCGAGCCCCTTGGGAAAAAAACCTACCGACGCCCATGACCCATTTCTAATCATTGAACCATTCATTGTTGATCTAGATTCATACTGACTATTTCATAACTTACTCAACATCTGGCCCGTTTTACCTTGAAAGCTAATGAAATGAGACAAAGCAATGAAAGCTGAATGGAAATGAAAGGAAATAAAACAAATATGTCAAGAACAAACCATTTCACTCAACTGATTCGTGCCAAAAAGAAATAAGGCTTACTGCATGCATTTAACAACTTAAATAAATTGCTTGAAAAGCGAGTTTCATGAGGAGTGCCTATATCCAATTGAGCTAAACAAAAGATCGGGCTTTCCGTCTTCAAACGCTCCGCTGATTGACGATCAAAACTAAGGGACCTAATCATGGCACTCCAGGTTAGTTGGGTTGGCATCATCAACTGAGTTGATAACGTAAATTGGCCACCGTTCAGAGTTTCGAGCGTCATCTCCAAACGTCATCTTTGAAACTCTTAACAGTGGCCAATTTATGTCATCAACTGATTATACTCTCCCACCGACGCAGCACCACAGTTTTTCTAAAAACTTACCCCCTTTAGTCTAGGTTAGTTAGTTTCGTTGATTGATCAAAGCTTTCAATTCAAAATTTGCCTCAGAGAAGTTGTTTAATAGCAACAACAGAGCAACTTATAACTTTGGATACAATCATAATTTTGGAATAATTTCTTTTGATGCCCTATTGATTGAAACTGCGAGAAACTCTTTAAGAAAAGTACGGTTGACTGGTGTTTGGAGTTTTCCTGAAAGCTGCTCTCCTTTCCGGATGCTATTGTCCATATAAATTCAATTCCATCTGGCTTTTCTGTGTTTATTTTAGGATTTGAAACAATTTCAGGCCGTCATAACCCTTGATGTATGTTTGCAAATTGCTAAGACATAGCTCATTGCTTGAGTTGCGTGACCTAATCCTTAAACCAAATCTGTTTCAAACACGCGATATAAGTCAATTTTCGACGACATGGTCTCTCAAACATTAATTGCGAGACCATAGGTGCACAGAAGAAGAACGAAAAGTTTCTTTATAAGAGAAGATCATTGAAGCGCAAAGAACATTTGGTATAATATAAAGCCGTCAGCAATTTAAAACTGCATTTACAGTTACAAAACTAAACGTTTGAAGTTGAATATTTAGTACATCACCTTGTTTTTATCAGATGGATAATGTATCGTGCACTATTACAACTATTTTCAGAATGTAGCTTCGTCTCGTTCTTTTGCGGTCGGATGTTATAGTTTCGGGTTAATGTGGTTTTTCGATGAATGTTGAGTCAGGATATTGTCCTTTCTTTGTAATTGTTATGTTATTATTTAGTCTCTTCAATTTGAAAGAACATGGTACGAGGATTTTGTTGTTTACAGCTCAAAATGCTTTTGAAACATTGTGCAATACGAAATACGGCGTAGGATTATCTGTGATATCCTTCAAATGACGGTTCGAAACTTCTCAGATTTCATGGCGTGATTCTCCACACGTGATCTGGGTGAAGCACCGAAAGTTTCTGCCGTGTGACCATCTTCGATGAAAAAGGTTCTGTTTACAAAAATTGTCTCATCAACAACAACCTTTAAAATTAAACAATGAATCCCTCAGAGCGCTAACAGTTTCAAAGACAACTGCGAAAAACGCAAACCGCACTTGTAACACAACGGCTCGGGTTTCTAAAAAATGACCTCGTGTTAAATTTGAATACAGAGCAATTTGAAAGATGGCAGCTCACCGATGGACATTTGAGTTTTATACCTTTTTTCTTATTTTAAAAGTCAATATGGTACAAACGAGAGCTCCTCTCTCAAATGAAAGAAACATCTAACTGTCCTAACTCACCTAATGATGCTCTATATCTCGGGTAGGAAGGAAAACTGGCTTGATACACTATTTGCTGTCCTTACAAATATTGTAAAATATTATCTTGCAAATATCTGTTCTTCGGGGACTGGTTAGGGTAATGCAGCTATTTGTAATGAAACAGACATCCGTTTCGAACGTACGGTGGTTTCCGGTTAAATTTTTGGTGCGGCTATGAAAACCCCATGATGGAATTTTCTATCATTTCCAACGGCTTTCGCTTTTACCAGTAACCACCCGGCACAAAATATCAAATAACGCAGAGACAGAAGCTCAGCCAGGCAATTACTATTACGCTCGTTTAGACAAGACTCCCTGTCATGCAACTAAACCTGCTACTAGTCCGCCACCACGGAGAGTTGCACGCCTGTCTCGTGTAGAGAGCAATCATTTTAGGCGCTGTAAATGAATCGTTAGTCTACGATGTAAGGGCAGAAATTTGCCCCATGATATTGATCAACGAATTTCTAATATACGACTTACCGTGACAAACGAGAGAAGAGGCGATAACAGCGATTAAGGCGATCCTCATTTTACTTATCGTTAACAACAACCTCGCTAATGGCTACAAGACCCTGTAAGGGGCTGTGCGGAGCTGAAACTTATAATTTTGGTTAAATTGGTTCCCAGACCCTCTGATGCTCGCCGGTCAGTGTCACAGAACGCCGGTATTATATGCAAATTTTGTTTTTAACTCGTGGCCAGCGGTGAAAAAAACACATAGGAAAATGTGCTAAGCGGAAAAACGAAAGAAGAATCTACAACTGTTACACCCTGTGCGCAGTTGTGTAGAATGACCATCTTGAGGCGGGACGAGAAACTGACACTCGATCGAGAATTCATAGCGGAATGTCAGTATCGGAATTGGCTATGAACGCAGCTTCTTGCCAACTAATAAGTGATAAATAGCCTGCGCAAAAGCCCTCATTATTAGCACAGAGAGACGCGCTTTTTTCAACCCGCGGGTAGATTTAAAGACGAGACGGGGCGGGGGAGAGGTTTGCCGGGGCCTGGGACTAATTATCAGTGCTTGACCCTTTGCAGACCTCTGATCCACTCGTGTTACTGAAGGCCTCATATTTTCCCGCGGAAGAAGAAAAGCTCGTGCCCAAGCACTTATGATGTCGGCCTATTCGCAAGCTTGGAGATAAAGGACACAAATTGTGACGTGAAAAATTAATTCGTTTCAGCAAATTCGAAACAAAAGTCAACCTCTTACCGCTACTGATTTTAGTTGATTCAACTTTGCCTTTTTATCGTATTTCTTCGCGAGGAAACGTTTTTCATGGAGTTCAATTTAACACATGGGAAATGGTCATAAGCCCACAACCACCCAACTAACTGTCCTGTCCGCTTCTAAAAAGGGCATGACATGACAGAACTAATTTAGTTTCAAAGCAGAGAGATTTTAAGGCCAGTTGAAAAATGGGGTTCATAACGTCACCTTTACTTCAAAACTAGACCCTGTGAGCAGGGTAACTGGGATACCTGGATGGTACTGGATCCTTGGAATCAAGTGTAGTGATACTACGGGTGTCGGACTAGTATACTGAAATAGTTCGCTCAAGTCTGGCCAAGGGCATACACCTATTTCAAAACATAGGCATGCTATGCATGCAAGAGTTACTTTTTTGTAGGGTGGGTGGATTACTTGAAACATTGTGAGTGATGTCTACATTCTTACAAAAGGAGAGAAGAATATTAATGTGGGAAAGAACGAAAATGTCGAATTACCTCACTCACAGGTATTTTGAGGTAGATTATGTGTGTTTTGCGAATAAATGTAACCAAAAATAAACTGTATTGGTGCCACGGATACCTGTTAGTACAAAATATAGACAGCAGACTGCAGACCGGATACAAAATATAGACTGCAGACTGCAGAGTGGGTACAAAATGCAGACTAAGACTCCGAAGAGGTTTTACGTCTAGTATATAGTAACATGTCATCTTACAGCTTACCGAGCGTCACGCAATCGCTTTTCTGCGATCCGCCTTCACGATTATTTGCACTATTGTGAGATATTCCTGGCCATTTCTTGATGAAAATCGATCGCAATATTATTTCAAGCCTTCAATATAGTATTCTTACTTTGCGCGCGAGTTGATTGGTGTGATGTCAGTACAGATTTTACCAACGTAATAAAAGTAGATGACGTGAATAACAGTGATGGTAGAGCAAGCTTAAAACGGCAGAAATCGCCAGAAAATACAACGGATACACAGGGTATGAGTAAGTTTTATTGATTTTACGAGAAAAATGTTCGTATTTCGAAATATATATCGTTGTAAATCGACCATACTTCGTTCCCTATACTATTCCTTATAACGTGCAGTTCCTCTCGTAACTTATCACCGAGTCACACAACGCGTGACGCGTTCATGAATTAATCGTTGGCTTTTTCTCGAGACGTTGGGCTGCCTGTGACAAGACAATTGCGTAAACAATATTTAACACTAGACCCTGTGAACAGGGTAACTGGGATACCTGGATGGTACTGGATCCTTGGAATCAAGTGTAGTGATACTAAGGGTGTCGGACTAGTATACTGAAATAGTGCGCTCAAGTCTGGCCAAGGGCATACACCTATTTCAAACCATAGGCATGCTATGCGTGTAAGAGTTCCTTTTTGGTAGGGTGGGTGGATTACTTGAAACATTGTGAGTGATGTCTACATTCTTAAAAAAGGAGAGAAGAATATTAATGTGGGAAAGAACGAAAATGTCGAATTTCCTAATTCACAGGTATTTTGTGGTAGATTATGTGTGTTTTGCGAATAAATGTAACCAAAAATAAACTGTATTGGTGCCACGGATACCTGTTATTAAAAAATGCAGACAGCAGACTGCAGACCGGATACAAAATATAGACTGCAGACTGCAGAGTGGGTACAAAATGCAGACTAAGAATCCGAAGAGTTTTTACGTCTGGTATATAATAACATGTCATCTTACAGCTTACCGAGCGTCACGCAATCGCTTTTCTGCAATCCGCCTTCACGATTATTTGCACTATTGTGGAATATTCCTGGCCCATTTCTTGATGAAAATCGATCGCAGTATTATTTCAAGCCTTCAATATAGTCTTCTTACTTTGCACGCGAGTTGGTTGGTGTGATGTCTGTACAGATTTTATCAACGTAATAAAAGTAGACAATGTGAACAACAGTGATGGTAAAGCAAGCTTAAAACGGCAGAAATCGCCAGAAAATACAACGGATACACAGGGTATGAGTAAGTTTTATTGATTTTACGAGAAAAATGTTCATATTTCGAAATATGTATCGTTGTAAATCGACCATACTTCGTTCCCTGTACTATTCCTTATAACGCGCAGTTCCTCTCGTAACTTAACACCGAGTCACGCAGCGCGTGACGCGTTCATGAATTGATCGTTGGCTTTTTCTCGAGACGTGAGCTTGGGCCGCTTGTGACAAGACAATTGCGTAAACAATATTTAACATAACAACATTATACACAAAAAAACACAGGGTCTTGGATCACGTATTTATTAAAAAAGAATATCCATACAACTACAATGAAAACAAACATAAGATTCACCTTTCTGATCGTGAAATTTATACCATTCGTACTGTTATCGTAGCCACGTTCCTTGCCATCAAGTGAATCCAGCATGTCGTCTTTCTTCAAAAGCAGTTTGCATTCCATATAGTTATGTTCTTCAGTCTCACGGTAGTAGCGTTGTTCAATAGATTGCATAGAGTATATGCAGTTTGGTTTCAGATTTCAGATTTTGCTTTTTACAACAAGTGAACGTTTTTCAACTAAGACATTAGCATACTTAGCATACAAGGCATTCAAGGCTTTCATGGCTTTCAAGCGTTCGCGACTCAATCCGTTCCAAAATTACCGCTCAATAACATCTTTCAGTGTGGATTAGCCGCGATTAATACGACTTGTATATGCGTCTGTAAATATTTTGCGCGTTTGCGATATAATGCTCCAGGAAATCGCAATCCAAATACGTTGAAATACAAAACAACTGACCAAAGAGCTTTTTAAGCAAAATCTCGTGATTTGTCATGTGACCCGGCCCTGTCTGTGTATGACAACGTCAATCATCATCAACATAACACGCGAACTCAGCATGTGAACACCTCATTGGATCACAGTTAGTTGTCATGGTGTTGAGGGATAACACGCGTGATCAGCATGTGAACACCTCATTGGATCACAGTTAGTTGTCATGGTGTCATGGTGTTGATGGCCCAATGACCTCTGGGTACTATTGCGCAATTTTTCCATTTTGTGGCGGAGGAAAAAAAAAAAAAACTAGACCCTGTGAGCAGGGTAACTGGGATACCTGGATGGTACTGGTCCTTGGAATCAAGTGTAGTGATACTACGGGTGTCGGACTAGTATACTGAAATAGTGCGCTCAAGTCTGGCCAAGGGCATACACCTATTTCAAAACATAGGCATGCTATGCATGCAAGAGTTAATTTTTTTGTAGGGTGGGTGGATTACTTGAAACATTGTGAGTGATGTCTACATTCTTACAAAAGGAGAGAAGAATATTAATGTGGGAAAGAACGAAAATGTCGAATTACCTCACACACAGGTATTTTGTGGTAGATTATGTGTGTTTTGCGAATAAATGTGACCAAAAATAAACTGTATTGGTGCCACGGATACCTGTTAGTACAAGATGCAGACAGCAGACTGCAGACCGGATACAAAATATAGACTGCAGACTGCAGAGTGGGTACAAAATGCAGACTAAGAATCTGAAGAGTTTTTACGTCTGGTATATAATAACATGTCATCTTACAGCTTACCGAGCGTCACGCAATAACTTTTCTGCGATCAGCCTTCACGATTATTTGCACTATTATGGAATATTCCTGGCCCATTTCTTGATGAAAATCGATCGCAAAATTATTTCAAGCCTTCAATATAGTCTTCTTATTTTGCGCGCGAGTTGGTTGGTGTGATGTCTGTACAGATTTTACCAACATAATAAAAGTAGATGACGTGAATAACAGTGATGGTAAAGCAAGCTTCAAACGGCAGAAATCGCCAGAAAATACAACGGATACACAGGGTATGAGTAAGTTTTATTGATTTTACAAGAAAAATGTTCATATTTCGAAATATGTATCGTTGTAAATCGACCATACTTCGTTCCCTGTACTATTCCTTATAACGCGCAGTTCCTCTCGTAACTTAACACCGAGTCACACAACGCGTGACGCGTTCATGAATCAATCGTTGGCTTTTTCTCGAGACTTGAGCTTGGGCCGCCAGTGACAAGACAATTGCGTAACAATATTTAACATAATAACATTATACACAAAAAAACACAGGGTTTTGGATCACGTATTTATTAAAAAAGAATATCCATACAACTACAATGAAAACAAACATAAGATTCACCTTTCTGATCGTGCAATTAATACCACTCGTACTGTTATCGTAGCTACGTTCCTTGCCATCGAGTGAATCCAACATGTCGTCTTTCTTCACAAGCAGTTTGCACCATTATAGTTATTTTCTTCAGTCTCACGGTAGTAACGTTGTTCAATAGATTGCATAGAGTATATGCAGTTTGGTTTCAGATTTCAGATTTTGCTTTTGACAAC